ATGTCACTTTTGTCTCATATTTAGCTCTTAAATATCTCCAGCGATAGCTATACCACAACCTCCCTAAGTATATAGTGTTTAACTACCCTGACAGAAAGTTTTTCTTAATGTCCAACCTAAGTCTCCCTTGCTGCAATTTAAGCCCACTGCTTCTTGTCCTATCATCAAAAGCCAAAGAGAATATTTTTCCCACTCCTCCTTGTAACCTGTTTAGATACTTGATAACAGCTATCAAGTCCCCTCTCAATGATCTCTTTTCAAGCCCAATTCTTTCAGTCTTCCCTCATAGGTCACATTTTCTAGACCTTTAATAATTTGTGTTGCTCTTCTCTGGACCTTCTCCAGTTTCTCCATATCTTTATTGAAACGTGGTGCCCAGAACTGGACACAATACTCCAACTGAGGCCTAATCAGTGGAGAGTAGAGCAGAAGAATGACTTCTTGTGTCCTGCTCACCACACTCCTGTTAATGCATCCCAGAATCATGTTTGCTTTTTTTGCAAGTGTCACACTGTTGACTCATGTTTAGCTTGTGTTCCACTATGACCCCTAGATCTCTTTCTGCAGTGCTCTTCCCTAGACAGTCCCTTCCCATTCTCTGTGTGTGAAACTGATAGTTCCTTCCTAAGTGGAGTACTTTGTATTTGTCCTTATTAAACTTCATTCTATTTACCTCAGACCATTCCTCCACTTTGTCCAGATCATTTTGAATTATGACCCTATCTTCCAAAGCACTTGCAACCCCTCCCAGCTTGGTATCATCTGCAAACTTAATAAGCGTACTAAATCATTGATGAAGATATTGAACAGAACCAGTCCCAAAACACACCCCTGCAGAATCTCACTTGTTATGCCCTTCCAACATTACTGTGAACCATTAATAACTACTATCTGAGAATGGTTATGCAGCCAGTTATGCACCCAACTTATAGTTGCCCCCATCTAAGTTGTATTTGCCTAGTTTATTGATAAGAATGTCATGCAAGACCACATCAAATGCTTTACTAAACTCTAGGTATATCATGTCCACCACTTCTCCCTTATCCAGAAGTCTTGTTATCCTATCAAAGAAAGCTATCAGATTAGTTTGACATGATTTGTCCTTAACTATCACCTTATTACCTTCCAGATGTTTGCAGATGAATTCCTTAATTACTTGCTCCATTATCTTCCCTGGCACAGAAATTAAACTGACTGGTCTGTAATTTTTTTTTTTTTTTTTCTTATTTTCCTTTTTATGGATGGGCACTATATTTGCTCTTTTCCAATCTTCTGGAATCTCTCCTGACTTCCATGACTTTTCAAAGATGAGAGCTAAAGGCTCAGATACCTCCGCTATCAGCTCCTTGAGTATTCTAGGATGCATTTTATCAGTCCCTGGTGACTTGAAAACATCTAGCTTTTCTAAGTAATTTTAAGTTGTTCTTTTTTAAATTTTAACTACTAAACGTACCCAAATTCCACTAGCATTCACTATGTTAGGCCTTCTGTCACCATCAATCTTCTTGATGAAAACCAAAACCAGAAGTCATTAAGCACCTCAGCCATTTCCAAGTTTCCTGTGACCATTTCTCTCTCTTCACTGAGCAGTGTACATACCCTGTCCTTAGTCTTCCTTTTGCCTCTAAGATGTTTGTAGAATGTACAACTGAATAAATGGCTTTAGAAAATAACCTTAAAATAACCACACTATAACAAGCCAAAGAGGAGCAGTTTTGGGAAGTTAGAACCAAATGGTTTGACTGTTAGTCTGTCCCACAAAAGACACTGGCATGTCAGGAACAGAAGCTAGGGATGGTTTGGTACCTATTAAAAGTGACAGGACTCAATATCTTGGAGACTTGTGTGCACTTTTAGAGTTGATTCAAAGTAGATGTAGGGCCAAATGTAGAAGCCACATAGTATGACTCATGTCTGAATAAATCACTATCAACTGCCCTAAATTAGCATAAGCTGATGTGAGGGTGTATTTAATGCACTCATAGAGAAAGGTCTAGGGGACATGGTGTAGAAGGAAAGGCAGCTGTGGGGCGGGAAAGGAGGGTGTGAACAGCAGTAGCAGCTTTAACTTATTTCATTTTACATCTTCCTGTTGGCTACTCCTGCTACCACTTTCCATTTGTAGCCCCTCCCTCAGAATGTTAGAGTGACACACGTTCACCCTATGCTGATGTACCACCCAAATTTTTCTCCATTGCTTAATAACCTCTTGCTTGTAACCTGGAAGAACTATCTGTTGTCATACACTGATTCCCAGCTTCACATTTCTTTCCTTCTTCATATAAATCCACTGCACTGTACAACTCTAAGGTGAGATCTCTACTACAGGGGTAGGGCACCTTAAGGTACACAATTCCAGCCATGTAAATAATGTAGCTGGAGTCGACATACCTTAAGTTGAAGTTTGATGCCATTCCCACAGCAGGAGGTGGACAGGAGAATCGCTCTCATCAACTTCTCTTACGCCTTATGACAGCAAGGAGTACCACAGCTGATGGAGGCACGTTCAGCATTCAACTGAGTGAATGTTTAGTAGACCTGATTAATGGAACACTGGAAGATTCACCACTGCAACGTCAACTTTTCCGCAAATATAGATGTGGCCTAAGGATTTTGCTAGAGGAATCTATGCCACCCAAAATAGCATACAAATTCTGGAATCTGGAGCCAAAGAGTAAATTAATAAAAGACCAATAATATTTAATTAAAAAGTTAGTAACTACAATCTTCGCTATTAAGTCTTGTGTGCATCTGAAAGGAAAATTGAGGGCAGAAAACTGCATAGTTCCCTCCCCCCTCCACACGCTCACATACACTGACATTAAATGCCAACGTACACAGCTCCCAAGCTTCCATTCATTAATGTCCTCCTTGGAGTTTTCATTCACACCATCCTAGAGGCAATCTCATTTGGAGGACATCGTTGAAAAGGAATCAATAATGCTATTGATATTTGTGAAATACTTCTTATTTGTTTCCTCAAATCCAACTGTGTTTTCAGGCTCATGCTAAAATATTTACAGCATCTGTCAAAGAAAATAGATGGCTATCTTTGTGATTGTCTTTGGGACTACATTAAACCTCAGAGTCAGTCTGCAACATGCATGACTCTCTAGGAATTAACAGAACTGCACATGCCATTATATTAATGTTGCAATAAGTGTGCCTTATTCTGAATTAGTTTAATTCACTTTGGACATGGATTAAGCTCATTTACAATAAAAAAGTCTTACTCTGGAATAAAAGTACACATGGAATGAATCAAAAAGAGTTACTCTATTTTAAATTTCTTACCTATATTAATCTGGATTAATTTTTTATGTGCAGACAAATGCTAGGATTGGCCCTTTGCTTTATAATGATCAAAAAAGAAAAACGATAAACAAACTTTAGCAGTATCTTCCATAAGTCATGTTTGTTTGAAGAGCTGGAATAAAACCGATGCATTCTCAATCATTAGGAAGTATACTTTTAAAGATTTTGAGAAATGAGGGAGTAGATGTTTGGGTTGATTGGTAAAGGACTCCAGCTTTTTCAACTCTTGATTGCTTTTTTTGAACTTACCTCAGATAATTAAAGTTTGAGGGCTGCTTCATACTGGGTGGTGTCCTCCAGCCAGTTCCTAGTGGATAGGCCTCATAACATGGGACCTCTCTTGGAAGTATTGAGGGGAAGGAAAAACAGAGAAAGGGGAGGAACAGAGAGAGGAGGTGTATGGGCAGAAAAAGCTCAACTACTAATCTCCCAAAGGAACTCCTCCCAGAGTACAGTTGATTCACATTTGCAGGACACAGTGCAGGGAATCGCATGTTGACTCTGCTTGAGCAATATCCTTTCTGCGGATAATTTGAAAGGGAAAGTTTAATCCGCACTGGAGTTTCCGGTAGGGATGTAAAAGAGTAGTCAAGTTGACTGCTGGCATTCCCCCCTCTCCCTCTGCCTCTGAATCAGGTCCCAGGGAGCTTATTGGTAGTCAACTAATTGACTACCCTTTTGCATCCTTACTGGGATGTCTGATCAAAGAAGCAAGTGGGGAGAAGCAGGAGTCAGTGGTGGGGGGAGCTGGCTTAAAAGCTGGTTCCCCCCAGCACTGTCTCTGCATGCTGCTTGTGCCCCCCACCCCCGTGCTGCTACCTCTATCAGAGGCGGCATTGCAGAGGGACCAGGGAAGGCTGCTCCAGCAGCAGCCCCTGTCCATAGGAGGTTCCAGTGTGGAGCTGGGACCCCCCACAGACTGGAGCTGCTGGACCTGGCACAAGCTGGAACTGAGCAAGCTCAGCTTAGTCCCGGCTCATGCCAGGTCCAGGAGCTACCCCCTTGCAGCTCTACGTTTACATGTAGTAGGAGCGGCACTGCCTGCACTCCCAGCTCTTACTACATGTTAACTGCTGACCCACAGCAGGTGCAGAGCCTTTCTTTATTGACTAATCGTGCAGTCCATATAAATTGTATCAACTACATGATTATCCCATTACCTGCCTCTAAACATCCTTAGTTTCCATCTCTGGAAGAAATTGTGACCGAGATATATACATCTTAGTCACAATGTCCTTCCAAGGTGTCATAATTTGCTCCTGGCAAGGTAGTGGGGGATGGGGGAGGGAATAGAACTAAGTTTCCACCTGTTTCCCACCACCTCTGGATAAGGAATAAATGAAGTTGCACCACTGTTTACTTCTGCACCTCTAGACTTGAAGTCCTGGTAGTGAACATAGGTGGCTAAACAGATTCTGGTGAAATCCAGCTCAGAATCTAGCACCAAATGCATAAGCCACTTTACAACCAAATGGGGTGGAAAGATATTGTGCATTTAGAACATGGGATAAGGATCTAAGTGTGAAGATAATCATAATACACAAAGCCTTAGGTACCATAAAATGATTCTACCTAGGTATTATTTGGGAGTAGGGATTTAGAGAGGGACAACATATCTGGTGAAGGTGTGTAAGCAAAGACCAAGAACATCATTGAGTCTATTGAAAACGTACATTGGTAGAATATTTATGTTGGGATGAGATGAATGAAAGCAGCAGTTTATTCTTGTCTTACATACATGGCACAACATACAGAGCTGGCACAAAAACTTACAAAACCTCATACACCATGCTTCCTCCCAAATAACTTCTATCAAGTTACAACAGCATAAGAAATCAGTTATTTAGTCACAACAGAACTTCAGACATGAATAACCTCCCATTCAGTTTTTTTTCATAAGCTACTTAGACAAACATTATTTTACATGTTTAATACAGTACAGTATCCTTAACAGAGCTCAAGAGATTCACATTGAGAATTATATACTTTATAAAATGGCAAAATTTCTCATTTTGGGGAAGGATCAGTTTTTCTCCTCCCATGTCTGGTTTATGAATGGGTCACAAATCATTTTTACTCAACTTTACAAGCTAATCAGTGCTTTAACGTAAACACAAAAATCCTATTTACAGTTCTTCCAGAGTAATAAAAAGTTCTTTACTTCCCAACTCCCTCTCTCCGCCCCTCCCTCCCCAGCTGTCATTTATCTGGTAGAAATATTAACCCGTAGACAGCTATGGAAACTTTAAAACATCCTCCTGACAACATCACATTGGGTGGATAAATGACAGATGACTGCAGCCTTTGGCTGACATTTTTTTCTAAAAACAAAACAAAAGAAAGAAAGAAAGAAAGAAAGAAAGAAAGAAAGAAAGAAAGAAAGAAAGTAATGAAAAGGAGACTTCATATATTGTACTGAATGAAAGGCTTTGTATTCACTACAGAATGATGTTAAATCTCATCATCTGATCACATTAATGGAGACATTGTGCTACTTGTGGTTCTAATTGTAATAACTTTATCTTTGCTTTAGTTCTACCTTATAATACAAGACAACCCCATTGACTTTAGTGGATTGCTTTCATAACATTATTTTTTTACTCTAATAAAGATGTTGCTGGCTTGCTCCATAATGCTACTTTTTTGGGGCAAGATTCAATCACCCTTAAATATGCCGAGTAGTAGTTTACTCCTAAATTGTTCCATTGGCTAGGACTATTATGATTAAGGCACCACTATATGGTACTCATTCAAAGCCCACCAAGTCAATGGGATTTTTTTCTTTTGACTTAATTGGACTTTGGATCTGACCCTTTGTATATAAGGTTAACAAACTCTAGCCTTGAAGTAGCTAATCAGTATCTAAACAGTTTTTATTCTTTTGTACAAACAAAATGAATTTCATTTACACTAACTATTGTCGTAAAATCTGTATAGAAGTTGTTTTGAAAATTCATTTTACAGAACTTTATAAACATTGTGATATCAAACACATTCTCAAAAACTTGAGAAAGCACTAACACAAAACCCAAAAGAACCTAAATGGAATTCTTCCAGTAGTATTTATTTTGTTCTTGCATATTTAACATTCCAACTACCTCCACTTTGTCATTTTATGGACAAATTATGGACCCACTGAAGCCAGCAGCAAAATGCCAATAGGCTTCAACAGTCTCTTCTCTGAAAGTCTAGTACAGTACCAAATTGTTAAAATTCTTTCATCATCTTAGCTGCATTCTGCAGCCCCTCTTCATGCTGTGATACATTAATTCTCAAGCAGTCTCACTGTTTTCAGTGGGATTACATGTGAAGGAAGGAGGTACTGAGTCTGACCAAGGGTATCAGAAACTGATCCTACATTTTTTTTAATTCTCTGTATTCCTACCTAATATGTTTCAAATATTCTTCTTTACAAAGCTTATCATTCAAAAAGAACATAGGAAAAGTATTTGCAGACAACCCTGCATAAGAAATTAGTGTATATGCATTTACTTTATTATTACACATATTTCCCCAATCTGGCACTGTGATCACATTTAAATCACTTGATACATACATGTTGCACACTACAGTGAAATCTTAAGTTTGTTTCCCTCTCCCTTTCCCTCCCCATTTTTCAATACAATCAGCCATGGATACATGAAAATGATTGAAATGAGGTTCTACTTTAAAATTGTTCCTCTAAGGTGAGTTAGCTTGTGGTTATAATGCTAGTTTTGGCCTCAGTCCTGTAAAGATCTGTTATGCTTTATACTTTGCAAATAGTCTTATTGATTTCAGGGAGACCACTCACAGTGTGTAAACTTAAACACACAGATATGTTTTAATGGGATTAGGGCTTTGATTTCTGCCACACAATACAATACAATTTGTGTTTTTTTAATTATTATTTTAATAAAGCAAATAGAAAAAATGGTAGAGACTTTTTTGTAGATATTTCCAACTTTTAAAAAATATAACTCATGAAAGACCATTCATTGTAATATTCTGCACATTTCAGTAAATGTTTTACCTTCATTAGAAATGCTCTATGTCTGACCTAGGCATAGGGGGAAGGAATCTCAGGTCGTACTTATAGCACAGATCATAACCATATTGTAAACGTGTATTCACCTTTATCTGAGCCCTTTTTATAAAACTATTCATTTTAATTTGTTTGCTACTTTTAGACCATACTTGTTTCATCCACAGTAATAATAATAAAAAATCCCAAAACAAAAATTATTATACAATATTTCACACACATAACAACTATTTGCACCTGATGTGATATGCAAAGCAAGTTGTTGAAAATTTCTTGCATTTGGGTTATTCAAAGTTTAAGTACCCTCAACTTAGGAAAATTGCTTGAGTTTCCATAAGAGAAGGTTTCTCATACAATGGTAAGCCAAGCTAAGTATTCTTTCTGTCTCTCACGCATTCCCACTTTTTAGACTTAAAAAAAAGTCTGTCCCTTGATCTAGCAATATATATTAATGAGGTTATCATTTTCTGCATGGAGTAGTAATCTACAGTTTCCAGTGATTTATTCATAAAGATAGACTGCTCTTATTGAAGTTTACACTGCTTCACAAGTCTATTACTATGTAAACTCCAGCAGAATATGAATATCATATGAAATCATGTCAAGGTTCTATGGATTAGAAAGACCTTTGTGAAAATTTAGTTGCTTTCCAGTCTGATAATTCAATCCAGTCTTAACAAAAAGGATGTCTTGTTACAAGCCTGTAATTATACATTACACAGAAAGAAAATTGCTCCTTGCCTATGGAAACATTTTTTTTTAAGTTCCAACCCATTTCTAGATTTCTAACCATCACACAACATATGCCACTTGGCAATTTGTCTCCTAGGATATTCACAAATTTCCTTCCAATGTTCTCCACTTGTCCCTTCTGCTGAAGCTCCCAGGGTTAATCGGCCAATAATCTCATTCCTGGACCCCCTATCTGAATCCAAAACCAAAAATTCAATGCTGATATCTTCAAGGCCCTCACAAGGAATGTCAAAGACAAACAGTTCATTGAATACTGCATTAGGGGTGCATTTCTTCACATGGGTTTTCTTCTTGGAGATTCTCTTCTTAGCATGGTAGAGATTCACTTTGACATAAGGATCTGCAATGATAAGCAAAAAAACCCCACTATTGATAGCTATCCAACAGGAATTCATGGGAGATATATTCTACCAACATAATGATAACACAATCAGGTGTTGCCATAAACAAGTATATGTTGGGGAAAAAAAGGCCCCAGTTGTAAAATTTTACCCTATGACCACAACAAACTTTTTACTCTGTGACAACAGCAAGCTTTGTTGGATATTTACAAAAGAAATAAACTGTATCTTCACCAACTGATTCATAACTGGTAAATATTAGATTTGGTTCTTTATTTTTCTATTTGCCTGCTGGCAGAAATGTTAAACTCTAAATTCATGTATAATTAGTTATTTACATTTACATGTTCAGGATAAGCCACATTCTTAATGAGAATTGTGCATGCAAATTCATAGAAGAAAAGAAAATAGAAAAAAAAATGGTTGACTAGAAAAAATATATTTTTAGTCTCAGAAGGGAAGCCGTGTTCGTATGCATGTGCAAAAACAACGAGTCCTGTGGCATCTTAAAGACTAACAGATTTATTTGGGCATAAACTTTTGTGGGCAAAAAACACTTATTCAGATGTTGTATTCTTAGTGTAACTCCTGTGATTTTAATGCACTTGATTAATTTCACCTCATAAATTTTAATTGGGTTATTTTGAAGCAGCAATTCCAAATATAGGGTTGAATTTGTGGACATGCTAAATACATCCAGACTTCTGCAAGTTGATGACTGCTTTGCATCATTGGCACAGAATGAAGTAGTAAAATCACAACATTCAATTTGGTCCATAATTTATTAATCCTGTGAATTGATCCAACTTTTTTTTTCAACAGCTTTCAAATTTTGCTTGACTCTTCTTCCGTTGAATGAATAGACTTTTACTAATGATCAGAACTAAACACAAATCCCATTTAGAATTGCTGGGCCAAAAACATCAAACTGGAATAGCTGGATGGTGAGAAAGTTACTTGGTCAATTTGACCTAATAGTATATGATGCAGAAATACAGAAACAAAGATTGTACTGCACAGATTCAAGTGCAATATGATAGTGACAAAGTGTGTTAGAATGTATTTCTACTTTCATACTACACTTTCATAGTTAAACAACACTATAGGAATACACTTCAAATAATTAATTAATTAACTGGCCTTTTGAAACACAAACACCACTCCAGCATTCTGTAAATTAAAATCAATGCCTATCAAAGTGCTGTAGAGTGCTCTTAATCTCTAGCTAAATAAATATTGCTGGTTAGCATCTCCCAGCCAGAGATAAGTCTAAAGTGTCCAGTTTTCTTCTTCTAGCACTATCAGCAGACTATTATACCACATATCAGGAGGTTTTGTTGCGATGCTGGGACATCATAGAGGGCTATATGGAATCTCCCAAGTAAATCACTTCCTAGCTTGCTGAGAAGGGAAATATGAGTAGTTGTTTATCTGACCATACAAGGAAGACTCCCATACAAGGAGTCACAGGGGTCTATTTTGTCACACTTGCATCTGATTCCCTGAGAGACGACCCTTCTCCGTGGCCCATGAATCCCGCAAAGCTCATCTTTTCTTTTGGGCATTTAGGAAGAGGTGCTTTGAGGGTTGAAGAGGTTTTCATTTTATGCTCAGAACAGTTCTTTGCATTGTACTCTGAAATTAAATTATATCTTGGTGCCTAGTGCTTGATATGCTCTTACTAATAGCTCTTTAAAAGGAATTGAAGAAATATAGTATAGTGTCTGTCTGTCTCTGTGCATATCTGCCATTGGCTTTGATGGAATTCCCACAAAAAGAGAGAGTAACAAATAAAATGACGAGAATAGGTTGTAAAACCAGCTTTTCCTTAATACAGCCCCAGGGTACTGCATTACAATGCACACATATCATATTACAAGTGACTTATCTTACATAGCAAATATCACGTAATGGGCCAGATTAATGACTGATGTAACTCTTTGGACAAAACTATACTTGCTGTGCTGGAGATCAATCTTCTGGCATTCGATTTAGTGAGTCTAATTAAGACCCAGTAAATCGAATGCGGAGGGCATGTCTGGCTGGTGCTGGTATTCTTGGCAGTCATGAGGAGTAAGAGAAGTTGATAGGAGCATTTGCTCCCATAGACCTCCCTCTTGGCTTAAGGTAAACTGATTGCAACTACATATTTTACATAGCTGGAGTTGTGTATCTTAACTTGACTTTCCAGGACTAGTTGAACTGCAGCAGTTGCGGGTCTGCTTCACTTATAGACCACCTGTAGATTATCTCTTATTTACAATAAAACTGTACTTCTGCAGTATTTCCCAACAAATATCCTGTTGATGTCACAGGAGTTCTACAGAAGAAAAGAGCAACACTCATTGACTTATTTGAGAAGAGGATTTCTTCCATGGTCACTGAAAAGATACTTAATTTCTTAGCAAATACTATATAGGATCAATCTTGGAATTCAAAATATTACCTGTCTCTGTGAACAATGTAAGAATGAGTGACAGATCATAGAGGCCATGAGACCATGGGTGATAACACAGACAAAATCTTTAAACTGTAACTTCCCAAGCTTAGTATGTTTTTAAAGTCAGTACCTGATAATCCTGAAACATCAGCTTTGGGTAGATGTCTGGCTTTTAAAACAACCACCGTTAGAGTGTTTGTTGTAGATTGGTAGCAGAGAGAGATCAGTAATTCTCCACGCCCAGAAGACTTCTACGGAGATGAAAAGAGAACCTTTGTGAGCAAATATCTTTGTGAGTACAATTCAGTTGTGATGGCTTTGAAATACCTTTTCTTCCAAAACCTAGATATTCAATAAAGGGTTAAATTCTGGACCACACTTAATCCAACAGGAGTTCTGATGGATTTCAATGAGCCCAGGAGATTGCCCAGAGCATCCTCCTTTTATTAGTAGAGCTTCAGCCTGTGTTACAATACTTAAGATACCAGATAATACCACAAATGTCAATGAATATAGTTTCAATGAAAATGTATTCAACAATGTAGTTTTGTGAAAGGTTTCAAATACAATATTGGATAAATATTTGTTGGTCTAGGATGGCTTGCAGTCAACTAAGTGATTCCCATTGACTTCAATAAGCTTTCAGTAATGTCGTAATTGCCCATCATCAATAGAGAATGGGAAGAAGCTGTTCATTTTGTTCTTGCCAGCCTGATTAATTTGGGTCAGGTCCTGCTGACCTAACGTAAGTGGTTCCATTGAAGTACATTGCACCAATTGCATAAGAAAATAGGATTTGGCCTATTAGCAATTTCTTATAGAAAGCTCACTGAGTGATCTTTGATTGCACTTGTATTCTTGTCTCCCCATAATGCCACCATGCAAATCTTCTCAATGGTTGTAATGATCAGCTCTTTCTTCCCTACTTTTCTAAAATACCAATAAAATAATAATATGATTATAAAAAACACCAAAGTACTTTCAAAGATATTTAAAATAGATTACCCTAACATTTCTTTTGATGATCTCTCTGTTCATTAACATCCTTCCTTCTGACAATTCAACTCCTTCCAGTGGCATGAGGACTTCTCCAATTATGTCATCTCTGGAAAACCTGTCAAAACTCAAGATCATAAAGTGAAGGATTAAATCTTGGACTTGGCTATAGGGGATCCCATAAAAGGTGAAGGTTTCATCAAAAGCTGGATCTAAGGTTTTTCTCAGCACTCTGGTTTTCACCTTGTGCTTCTTCTCGGGCAAGATTGTCATTTTGATGTAGGGATCAGAAGTCATGGACTGCTCATCCATGGCTGGCAATCCACGTGCTTCTTTGATGTTTACTACAAATGCCTTCTTCTCAAAGTTGTACTCTAAAGAGAAAAAGAGAGTCCCTAACTTGTCTTGTTTCTCTTCAGAAGACAGTGAAGTGTTGGATTTTATGCTCTCGGGGGAGATTGAATTTTTCTCCCTTTCTGCAAAATGCTTTGGAGTCAAGTTCTCAACATCTGGAGAGCTCTGGATTTTGGGGGTTGTTTTGGGGAAGTTGCCATTCAAATCTCTCTTCTCCAGGTCAAGGTGAAGAGAATTCTTTGGCATCACTGGTTTGCTTTTTGCTTCACATTTGTCATCTGCTCCAAATTTTTTCTTACTGTTGAGGTTCTCTGGATAAATGTCAACTCCCTTCAGCACATGGACAAATTTGTAGGGAGGGGTCTTGTTGGATTTGGAAGATTTACGCTGGCAGCAGATCCAAGCGAAGAGGGAGACTGTGAAGACAAGGCCAAAAGCACTAAAGATCCCAACCACTGTAGGAATTTCATCTGCAAATTAAATTAATAGTAACAAACATGTAAAAAGAAGTGCTAGAGATAATGTTGTAATATATTTGAAAATACACTCTAAAGACATGGCACTAACAGCAAACTAAGCAGATTGAAATGTTTTCCGTTGTACATATTGAAAAGGATCTGTGTATATTTCACGCCACCTGCAGGTTTAAATGCATAGCCACACAGCAAGAGGGACTCTTTACGATAGTGCTTTTCCACATACATAGGGTAGCCAATTATTGCAGTTTATTGTTTATTTCTTGTTAACAGCAGAGTGATTGGGAGGAAAACAGTAGGACAATACAATATCATTAATAATTATTTTCTGAAATGGCTCCTTTCTCTGTGCAGTTTCTAGGTTCACTTCAAACAACCCCATTGCTATGAACCCCTGAGGCAAAAGCATTTTCAGCTCCCTCCTGCAGCTTCTGCACTAAGTTATCAGGATTCGGTTGCTTAAACAGAATTTGAAATATGCATTACTTATTTATGCCATCTACTTTTTTACATTGCTCCTTGGACTCCTCTGTGTATTGAAGGAGGTAAATGTTTTATGTTCTGACCCCATAACTGGTTAGAGGTATCCCATAAAGATGCTGTGTTTAATACAAGGTGATGGTATTCAACTCATCTTTTTGCAGGACTCCCTCAAACTATCTTATCGGATCGTATTGTATTGTACCATATCAATCATCTTTTTCCTGCTTCCTGAGCATTGTGCATTAATGTTCAAATTTAGAAACAAGAAAACCCACTATGTTGCTAGCCATTAAATATTGAACCCATCTGACTATCAATAAAAATCATGTGGAATTTAAAAGTAACAGAAGGAGGGCTTTTGTTTATTTCACATTTCATTAGATCCTATATTATGAAAAGTATTAGAGCTAGATTCTTCTCCCATGTTCATATGAGTCATGGATTTAAAAATTACATTTCTAAGGGGAAATATGTGCAAGGGTTATAATCTCATTTGGAATGTGAATAAAGTGGTTGCATATAGAGTATGCCATTATTTCATAAGCATGCAATGAAGAGCCAAATGAGAACAACTTACTGGAAACCCAATTTGTCCCATAAGTAACAAATTTTAACTTTCTACAATATACCAATCAGAGCTCAATCCACTTCAATGTAAGAGTGAGGAACTAGTAAAATATTAATGTGATGACATTTTGTATGAATAAAGATAAGTATGTTCTTTATTTAAGAGTTCTGGTTCTTTAGCACATGATTAGTAGATCTTTCCAGTTGAGAGAGAGCACAGGGGTCTTATATGAATGAGTCAGTTATGTATAGTTACAGGCTATACAGAAGGAAATAATTTTCATGTACAGTAATATCTTTTTTTATTATTGAAGTGACTGAAAAAATAGCATTACAAAGAGATATCGGGAGATACATTTCCAGCAAAGGGTTTGACATGGCTCTTCATTTCTTCTATCAATTGTGTCATTTTGCCTTCTACCCTTACTCTGTATCATTTCTTATAATTAAATAAAAGAACCCAATAAAATGACTGAAAAATGACATATGTGATCAATAAGTGAATTCATTTTTTTAAAGTTAAGCACATGGCATGAGTTTAGACAATTCCTCGGGGTACCAAAAGGGAAATTGCTTAAAATGAAATAGGAGAGAACAAGATGTGATATTGTAATTATTAGCACAGCTTAAACAGGTTTTGAGTATGACTTTGCATTTTTGTAACACTTTTTCATTAGTTCACATTTAGATAGTCTGTTTATATAAGTGTGAACAATATTACATCTACAGCTTTTGATAATAGCATTGATAGCACAAAATTGGTACACAAATTAATTATCTTCATTAAATTAGTCATCAGGTGAGCAAAATGTTACAAATGTAGTTAGAAACTCCCAGGTGGGTGGCGTGGGCAGGGAGATGAAATGGTAAATAACATTGCTACACATTTACTGCAGTTAGCTAGAACCTGTGTTTTTGCTATTTTCCTATGGTAAATCAATTGTCCAGTCACTCAGAAAAGGTAGAGTTCCTTGAGATGCTATGTATTAATACCAGAGCAGCTCCAGATCTCAGTAACATATATATAAATCTGCATTTTTGCCCCTTAAATCAAGGGAGTGCATTCAGATTTGCACCTGTGCTAGAGTAAATGTTTTATAAAGGATAATTAAGAAACATTTTATAAACTCTAAATAAAGGTATATCTCTTAAATGTACACACACACACACACACACACACACACACACACACACACACACACACACACATTTATGGGAATGTTCCTGCAACTCCCATTCTCTCAAAATAAAATTAATCCTATATTCAACAAAAATGTTGAACTTAAAACTTTTTTGTATTATTATCCTCTTATGTTAATATCCCCTGCACCTAGATACGTTTAAAATAAGTTGTATTATCACTTATTCACCTACCTAGCAGCATCAATTAGAAGAATATATATATGATGCACACACACACACACACACACACACACACACACACACACACACAGTCCTAATGGTTGCCAGTGCATGGACTGCAAAAACAAAAAAGAAAATTAGGTATCTATAAACGTCTAAACCATAAAAATAGATTGTGTTCAAGTGATTCCTTCGAAAGAGAGATAAGGAGGCTGCAGAGGTAAGTTAGACAAGATGTCATGCATATTCTTAGTATAGAATGTTAGCTCTCCCAAGATCACTAAATGGAATGTTCATACAAATATGCAGCCAGTTCTAAGGCTTAAGGATGGAAATTGCCCGGCATTGTAAGTTTGGGATGGAACTTGCTTACCAAATTCTTCTCTGGTAGCTGAAATCGGAGCCATTTTTGCGGCGTGCTCTGTCCAAGGTACCGAAACGCACTTCCCCTTCTCAGCCCAGATCTTAGCTTGCACAAACCCAACGGAGCCTTATTTTCCAGCGTGATGAAAACACAAACATGAAAGATCGGGAAGGTTTAGGAGGAGGAGGCTATATTGGGGGAGGAGGGGAGGGAGCTTTTAGACCTTCCCTCTTCGCAGTGATTTGCAACCCCCTTCCCGTTTTGGCTCTTCTGAGTAGCTCCGCTCTGAGACTGAAGACGTGGTTGAGACCCAAATTGACGCAATCCTGACGCTACAGGGCTGAAATCAGCACCTTCACCCCCCTTCACCCCCACCCCACTCCTCCTGGGGATTCAGCACACACTCATCAATTATTTTAACTGCTCGGCTGCAGGAGATCCGCTCACATTCTCAGCCTGACACAGAAAAAAGATGCTAATTCCTACAGCCAAACATGCTCTTGTATAATCCACAGCCAGTTTATGTTCTATTAAGTGTTATGTATTAATTTGATAGTCAGGTTGCAATGATGCAGGGAGGTGGTGACGATGTAATGTCTTAGGGTCAAACGACCAAACTCCAACGTGGTTTCCCTATATTTGATATCATATATATAATAGATCCGAGTCACTAAATATCCTGTGTCTACTCCCCTCCCCCTTAGAAGTGAAAGAACAGTAGCCTTCTCTTCTCCTGACCTTCCTTCAGGTAAAAGATGGGTCTGCCTGGATCTGATCAGTTTGGAATCTAATCCTATCGTATTATACTGTATAGAAAAAAAAAGTCTGCTGCTAAAACACCCACAGCCCCTCTTGGATCTGAAACCTGGCACCTGAATCCTGCTGGATCCAGCCAACTTTTGGTTCCCAGCACAATTTTTGTTGCATCAATGGAAATCAAATGATGGTCCTCCTGTGACCACAGCATCCACAGACAGAGGGTCAGTGTCCCCCTTACCCCAGGAAAAAGCTGTTTAACTACAGAACAAATGGAGCTGCTTCTATTTCTAGCAAACTCATCCAGTCAATCTGGAGGCTGCACTGAGTGAGTCTGTGGGGCTGACAATCCCAATTCCACTTCATTAAAAAAGAAAGAAAAATGATCACTTTTGGATGCTTCTCCTGCACTGTAACTATCCCTCCACCTCCCCCCCCCCACACACACACACACCTACCTCTCTGCACAGACTACAGCTGTTCTCCAGAAACTTTGACCCAGGATGGGGACTCTATGAGATCTGACCAAATTTTGGCCACAAACAAATACATATACTGTAAAATATAAATATAAAATATACAATAAAAATAAAAGATAGTGGAGCTTCACCTATACCCCCCTACAAAAAACCTGGACCTGGTATAAGACTGTGGCAAAAACTGTCCTTTAGCACCTCCCTTTATTTTGAAAGTACTGTACAGTCTGGGTTTTTGTGTTAGAAGGGAGGCAAGATCCAACTACATCCAAGCTTTGAATTCACCCCTCCCCCTTTCTCTTTGTTAATGGTAACTATTTAGTTTTAGTTTGGCTATCCAAAATTGAAATGTAAATGCATGGGAAATAATTGCCTTTGATTTTACACTTGAGAGCAGACACACTTACCGCCATGACCAACATGTAAGGGATCTTTTCACTACAGTATCTGGAGTATATATAGATGCTATCTCTCAGCTGATATCAATATTCCCTTCCTCCATGAAATCTCTAAGCATCTCTGTTGATATGCTCAGGGATTGCCAAGCACATGGAATGGCCAATTGCTGACTGTCAAAGGTTTCCTTTCATTCTGGTTTTTTTTTTTTAAAAAAGTCCCAGAGGCTGTTACACAATTTGCAAGTTTTATAGTGGCTGGGGACCATCACTTTGCATATGTTTACACTACAGAGTTTTTTCGGAAGAACTGCTTTTTTTCTGAAAAAACTTCAATTACATCCACACTGCAATTGTGTTCTTCCAAAAGGAAATTGAAAGAAAAGAGGGTTTTTCCTGACATTGGTAATCCTCATTCTACCAGGAAGAAGCCTTTTTCTGAAAGAGCTCTTTTGGAAAAAGGAATGTGTGGACAAGGAAGAAGGAGTTCTTTTGAAAGAAGGGGGGAAAGGAAAAAGCACAGGTGCCCTGGTGGCCACTCCATCCATAGTAATCACAACTGAAGTGCAAGATAGTGTCCATTCAGTGTGAACGCTATTTTTGGAAAAAGCAGATCGCTTTTCCGATGTGCTTTTGCAGTGTGATCTCTTCCGGAAAAGCTTCTTCCGAAAGAAACCTGCAGTTTAAACATAGTCCTTCTTTCAGCACTCATTCTCTTTCCCAGAATGGAAAAACTGGTAAAATGGGGGAGGGAGAAGGCAAAGGGAGGTTGTTGTTTTTTTACAAAGTACAAGATAGTTCAGCCATTTTTCTGTTGCTCCTCCCTTTGCATACTCTTTTCAAATTAACAAAAATGTCCTTTTATGGATTATCGCTATTATTAATTTAGATTAATATTTTGGAAATGCCTGGAGACCAATAAGTTGAGGCCTCATTTTGCTGAACACTATGCAAAATGATAGTAAATGATAGTCTCTACCCTTATGTTTATCTCAGGGGTCTACATATATAACTCATTCCCATGTTACAGGAGTGGTTTCTTTCCTTGCCCTGATGAGATTGCTAGATTGCTAGATTCCTGGTTGTGAAGGAGATGATGATGATTAGATAAACAGTCATTTACATATATAGAGAATCAATGTTTTATTTCCATGGAATATCACTTCTATAACATGACAAAAAGCATCACTCCTATCAACTGTGATATTTCTATAGTTAACTATATGACTACACTTTAGTACAGAATGTGTGTCACAGGAAATAACTAAGGAGCAGTCTGGCAAATGTTGAGACAGATGTGCTGTTTATTCTGTGTGTTGTGCAAGCACCATCTAGTGTACACCTTAGTTCCATCAGTGCCTATGGAATAACAGACATAGACATACTTGTGCAGACATAGATAGAACTACACAGTTAGATAATCAACCTGTTATTTCCATGGTGTACTTAAGTCAAAGATCATCCTTTCTATTTGTTAACTGACTATATTTCAGCTAAGCCCCTCCCAAGCAATGGGCACATTGTCACTAGTTGTGGTTGCAGATACTTGAGAATGCCTCTGTTTTAGCAGAGATTCACATTGTTACAATACCTTTTTTTGTAAAGAGGAGAGAAAGCTCTTTTCTCAGTTTCATTCCCTTCCCTTAATTTGATGAGCAAACAGATGATCATTCTCTGAAATCATCAGCTCCAGACACAGTCGGCACAAGGTCGGGGAAACTGTTTGAGCTCTTAGCCACTGTACTAAGTCAAAATGATTTCTCGTGAAAAATGTACATTCCAGCTGACTGCATCAATATAAGCCTTCCTGTAGGTCTAGAAAACAGATTATCAATGCATAGGCATGCGCAGAATGCCCACCAGCTGCTGTGAGACTAGGGAGGGTGGTTACTAAGCAACAGAGACCAGACAGTTCCCTAAACAGAGAGAGGCCTCAAATGAACATTTGGGTCTGGAAAATAATTGTTTTCCCTCCCCTCCCTACCTATGAACAGGCGGATCCAAAAGATCTTGTGTGGAGGAGAAAAAGGACTGGCTTCCTCCTTTAAAAAATAAAAACAAATGTTATTTTAAAAATGTAAAATAAAGCTCCATGATTTCTATATAGGAGATAAAAACAGGGAATCAACCCTTATCCATCCTAAAATATATTTTCCCGGAAGCTACACACTGAGAATTCTATCTACACTTGGAACTTAGGCTGTGATTTCCAACTCATACAGACATGATGTCCAAGTGGGTTGGCTAGCCACTGCTTGCCACTGCCTATGCTGCCACAGCTACAGTATTTTGGCACGTTAACTTGTTTATGTCAATACGTGCTGAGAATCACGCACCTCAGCTACAGGTTCACCGGTTCAAAAGAAGCCTCTAAGGGTATGTCTACACTGCATCCCTAGTTCGAACTAGGGATGCAAATGGAGACAATCGAAGTAGTTAATGAAGCGGGGATTTAAATATCCCACGCTCCATTAACATGATCTCGCCGGCGCGCTAGTTCGAATCACAGCTGATTCGAACCAGGAAGAGCGCCGGGATGCGTTAGTTCGGACTAAAGCCCTTAGTCCGAACTAATGTTACTCCTCAAAAAATGAGGAACTCGTGGAACTCCTCGAGTAACGGTAGTTTGGAATAGGAAGCCTAATCCGAACTATCTAGTTCGTGCTGCGTGTAGACGCGGGGCACGGAGTCCGAACTAGCGGACATTTAAAAATGGCGGCGCCCGGCAATATGCAAATGAAGCATGGGAAATTCAAATCCCGGGCTTCATTTGCAACTCCAGTTGCCTATATTACCACCCTAGTTCGAACTAGGGTGGTAGTGTAGACAAACCCTAGATTAGCACTTGAGACTTTGGGTATGTTTACATTGCCTAAACCTAATCCGAACTAGCTATTCCGTGCCGCGTGTAGCTGCGTGGCACAGGGTCCGAACTAGCCGGCATTTAAAAATGGCACCGGACAGCTTTATGCAAATGAAGCCCGGGAAATTCAAATCCCGGGCTTCATTTGCAACTCCGTATGACTACATTACCCCCCCTAGTTCGAACTAGGGGGTTAGTGTAGACATACCCTACTGGATTCCCTGGTTGAACTATACTTGTCATGGTAGAGCATGGTTTCCTCTCTCACTAAGACACTATGGTGTATCACGAGTTTCTTTGGTAACAGTACATAACAGGAAATGTAGTCTGGCTGGAGAACCTTTAGAGCACAATGGGGAGATGAGGGAAACAAATTACAGTACATTTGATTAACCAGTATTCATGGAGAATGGGGGTTGCTGGTTAATCAAATGTGCCAGATACTTGAGCTTTACACTAATGGTTCATTATTTTTTCACTGTATGTTAACCATAGTTGCATGATGGGTTTGATCATATCCAATAATGGTATTATATGCAGAAGCATGACACAAAGAAACTTTATTGCTGCAAGTTTACAAACTTGACTTCCACAAGTGCCAAAAAATATTGAAAATTATGCTAGATGGCTATCAGAATTTTTCTGGTTAACTGAAGGATGAATTGTATTGCTATCTATTGCAGATGCTGATTAACTGTTTTCTGGACATTAATGTGCCAGATAACACAGCTTGTACTATACAACTTCCAAGAGGCATCATGGAAACATTTTCAAATTTAAATGTTGGGCTTTTGGCTAATTTTTTCAGTCTTCTGTCAAAAAATAGAAAAAA